TTTAGGATATATAAATAAATTTTTAAATAAAAAATTTAATTATATAATAATAAATTATATGGTAACATACAAAAACATGTTACTTATGGCATTTTTGAAATAAAAATATATATCTTTTAGGATATAAAAATTATTTTTTGAATTCAAAACATCATCTCTCCGTCGCAATTTGAAACACAGCTTGAACGTCATCCATGTTTTTTCAAATCCCTTTCCCTCTACCTCGCTTCCTCTCTCCTTCCGCTGCCGTTTTCTGAAAATCCTAAGCCCCTCGCTTTCTCTCTTCATTCTCCAGCAATCACGGGATGACAACTCCCCAGCCGCCTCCTCCTCCGTCTCCGATGCACGGCTGCGAGCTCTCCAACCCACCGAAGGACGGGATCTCGAACCTTCGGTTCTCCAACCACAGTGATCACCTGCTCGTCTCTTCATGGGATAAGGTGCGCCCTCGGCACTAAATGCATTCACTCTCAGCTTTTTTGATTCAGTTGGAAGGTTTCGTTCTTGAGCTGATGAATTGTGACGCTTTTGTGTTGTAGACTGTGAGATTGTACGACGCCAGTGCAAACTCGTTGCGAGGAGAGTTCATCCACGGTGGTCCTGTGCTCGATTGCTGCTTCCATGACGATTCATCTGGATTTAGTGCCAGCTCTGATAATACTGTCAGGCGGTTAGTAAATTTGGCTTTCTTTGCTTTGTCCCAATTTTCTGTTTGGTTCCTGAGAATGCTGGGGAAAATCCACTGCATTTAGAAGAAGTCAAGTTTCTTTAACTAAGTTAATTGTTTCAGCTAGCTAATTACGTATAATCACTGAGATTTAAATTATCTCCCCTTTCTTTAGGTTGTTGAGTAAATGGATATTAGCTCTCATTTTGTTGATATCCCAGGTTAATCTATGAAGTTGCTATTCATATTTCAGGCTAGTTTTCAGCTATGGGAAGGAGGATATTTTAGGTAGACATGATGCGCCTGTTCGATGTGTAGAGTACTCCTATGCGGCAGGTTTGGTTTACATGTTACTCAAATGCGACCTTTCAATTCTTGCACTCTGATGCTTCTATACGGTGATTGTTTGAGAGTAGATATTTCTATTCATGGAGCTCATTTAAACCACATAAATGCTTTGTAGAGTTAATAAGGAAAATAATGACAGCACTACCCTGATTCAAATTGAAATTCAGGCAAGGGTCAATGCGTGAATGTGGTGGTAATCTTGCTGCCTGCATTATATTTCAAAATTCTTTGAACATTCTAGACTGGATTATCAGTTCAAAGTTTAAGTGCAGTAATTGGGTTGATTAAGGATGCATCTTTCTTCCATGCAGTTCATGCTGTCATGTTCTGTGACAGCCATTGTTGGGGATTAATTTGTATTGGTTGATAAGTAATGCTGCACTGTCTTGGAGAATTTTCCGGTTCAGATGAGAGAAGATTTTTCGAATTTTGTGATTTAAACCTTTCCATTTGCTTAGCTGAAAGCAAAGGATGTCTAAATTATATACTACGTAAATTTTGTGTAAAAAAAGAGAATGGGAGCACTTTTCTGCTCAAGCTTAACTCACAGCTTATATTTGTGTCAGTTTGACACTCCATGGTAGCTGCATAGACCTAATCAGAAGATATTGATATTATTGCTCCCTCAAAACACATTTGTTGTCTTAGCCAGATGAAATGACAGATTAAAGTGGGACAACACATTATGCAAAGCCAACTTCTTATTATCTTGTTGAGAATAATGATTCTAGTAATATAGTTTATCCAAGTAAACTTGAAAAATTAGCAGAAAACATGTTAAATTTCAGTTGCATGCATACCATCAGGTGCTTCTGCAGCAATTACATCTATATGAAATATAGAGATATATAATCAATAAGCTATGGTGATTTTTGAAGCGTAGAAGTTAACTTATTATGAGTTTATTATGATAGTGCCATGAATTGCTGTACCTCTTGCAAATTAGTTGTAAAAGTTGTCAAACATGACCTTTTCATTTAATTGGCATTTTGTAAAACATTCACAAGCCACAAATTTCTCTATATTACAGGGCAAGTGATCACAGGGAGTTGGGACAAAACATTGAAATGCTGGGATCCTAGGGGTGCAAGTGGGCAGGAGCGTACACTTGTTGGCACATATCCACAACCTGAGCGTGTTTACTCATTATCTCTTGTTGGAAACCGTCTAGTAGTGGCAACTGCTGGAAGACATGTAAATGTTTATGATTTGAGAAATATGTCTCAACCTGAGCAACGGAGGGAATCTTCATTGAAATATCAAACTAGATGTGTGAGATGTTATCCAAATGGAACAGGTATATCTTCCAAGTTGACTAAGCAATAAAATATTTGACACTTTTCTAGCTCAACAGTTGGACTTTCACTTTCTTTATATGACAAGGCTACCTAATTCCATACTTTTATTGATTTAATGTTTATTGGTTGCTTGCTTTCGTTGATTTAACAGTTTTATATTGGAAAATAGTTGAGTTAGCTGCTGCACAGAAAAGGCAGTTTGACCTCTGTATAATGTTAGAGGTTAAAACGTAGCTTAGCTTCTTTTTTTTTTTTTATCTATTTTTAATATTTTTTTGTTGCACATGTGATTTGCTAGTCACTTTTCCTGACTCGCTTGGGCATACTGTTTCTCATTTCTCATTGGTGTTTCATGCAGGTTATGCTCTTAGTTCAGTTGAGGGGCGTGTTGCAATGGAGTTCTTTGATCTTTCAGAGGCTAGTCAAGCCAAAAAGTAAGGTTTCTTTCTTATGCATAATGAAGTATAAATTAGCTTTCTGCTTTTGAAAGATCAATTTTTGAGTCCATTTTTTTTTTTCACAAGGAAAGTTTGATGCTTAGCTTCCCTAAAGGTTTGAACTCTAACCTTGACCCCATAATCAAGAATTTTTAAGCTAGTGGTTACTATTCTCTGATTGGTCTTTTCAATTCCTATAAGTTAGCTAAATGAAGTGGAGCACTTCTTAACTATGCATGATGTGTAATGGATTACAATTTTGTTTCTCTCATATCCTTGATTTTCCCCAAGACCTATTTGTTTGTATCTAGTTTGCTATCCTGTGCCCCCTCCTCACTTGATTGAGCCTATTTCAGAATCTGCATCAATAAATAGAAGTTGACTATGAGTGCATGCATGTTAATAGAGCATGGAAGCTAGGGAGTGTAACATTATAGTTATGACTTCTTTTGATATGATAGTACTGTTACTACAATGTGAACCATAATCTGTAACTCTGAGAACAAGTTAGGAGATATTTTTTCTTTTTTATTTTTTATCAGCATATGGTCCTTTTTCTGTCATTTTGTTTCTTATTGACAGTGTTAACATTTTAAAGGTATGCTTTTAAGTGTCATCGCAAATCAGAGGCTGGAAGGGACATTGTATATCCAGTGAATGCCATTGCATTCCATCCTGTGTAAGTTTCTTAACAGCTCTTTGAACTTCTAGTTGATCAAAAACTTACAGATTTGGTGAAGCCAACTTTTAGATTTTTGTTAAATAGTTTCCTAGTTAAAGTTCATGCCAGCCCTGCATTAGGTAGTTTATTGTTCAAGCAATGAGCTAGTGCAGTGCAGATATGCATGCATATGATGGCATCAAACTAGTTGAAGAAATTTGACTGGGTAGCTAAGCCACTTGATAGTAAGTATATGTACAAAACACCATTTGGTTATCACTGCCCTTAAAAGAACTTCAAACATGGACATGGGCAAACTTAAGTTCAGTACCTAAATAATTATCTGTGCATCTTGAGACATCAGACTGGATGCCTTCAACAAAGATTGGTTGGTCACATATCTCTTACCATCTCATTCCAATGTTTACTTATCTCATTCCAATTGCATAGATAATAACACATTACAAAATTTATTATTTGTGAATTGAATTAAACGGGTAAATTATTAATTTTAAATTTCAAAAAGAAATATTTTTGGAAAATGTAACTGGCTGTAATCGGTTTTTTTTTTTTTTGCCATCTAACTAGTTGTAAGTTGTAACTAATTATAAAGAAATATTTGTAACCATAACTAATAGCTTCTTCCTAGTCACAAGGTCGCTATTCCTAATCCATGCTTTATTGTTGGTAATGCAGCTATGGTACTTTTGCAACCGGTGGTTGTGATGGTTTTGTGAATGTGTGGGATGGTAACAACAAGAAGAGGCTGTATCAGGTAAATGGCATAAGTGATACTTTCACCTTTGGAAGTTAGAAGTTTTGCTTCATTGCTTAATTATTTGCGTTCTTTTTGCAGTACTCAAAGTACCCAACAAGCATTGCTGCGCTATCATTTAGCAGAGATGGACGGCTGTTGGCTGTGGCATCGAGTTATACATTTGAAGAGGGAGATAAGTCGTGAGAATCTCTCTCCCTCTCAGAGTCTCACTTGAAGCATGTCTATTTGCATGGTTGTATGTTACTAAAAAGCTCTAATGCATGGTCAATTCATTTTGCAGGCACGAACCAGATGCAATATTTGTACGTAGTGTAAATGAAATTGAAGTTAAGCCAAAGCCTAAGGTGTATCCTAATCCTCCAGCATAACTGCTCTACAGGTCTTTATAATACCATAGACTGATTTTTCAAATGTAATATGTCTGTGAGGCTTTATGAAATGAAGGTTGGCAAACTTGATCTGGACCACTCATTTATCTTCTCATGCCTATTGCTTCATGTCTCGTGAACTACCGAACTTTATAATTTGCAGCCATTTATTTTTCCACGTTTTCTCGTGAGCTAACTTTTTCTCAGGACGAAAACAACTGTAATAAGTTTATGGGCAATTTCATTGTTAGTCATTGAACTTTGTTGTAGCTTTCATTTCAGTCATTCGTGTTTTAATTTATAAGTTCAGTTATTAATTCTAATGGAATAACTCAACAGTTAAGAGACTGAGAGTTTAATTTAGAGATCTTAAATTTGAATCTTGAATTAAATAGAGAGGGATTTAAGAATAAGAAGATGTTATTTTTTCTTATATATCTTGTAATGAAATGTATAAAAAAAAATTCTTAATTATAAACATTAATTTAACAGAATCATGAACTTAACTGTGGATATATAACAGATGAAAGTTAAAACCATGTTGAGTAATTAATATTCTGATTATCATGTTTTGGTTTTAAAATTTTTGTTTTTGAAACTTTAAAATAAAATTAAAAAGCTCTATAAATTAAATAAGTTCAATATAATTTTAATTTTTAATTATCAATTTCAATTATTTAAACTTTGACAATAAAAAGTCAGAAATTACAACCATTTGGACTAAGTAAATTAATAAATTTAAGAAGTTTTTATTTTATTATTTAAACTATATTAAATTATAATATAAAAGTTATTAGATAAAAAGAGAATCTTTAATATTAAAGACCCATAAGAATAAGTGCGGCTCAGTCTAGGCTAGGAGTATTTGAACTGCACATCACTTACCATTTTAAAATATGAGCCAGTAAAATGAGAGTTACTATAAATAGTAACCAACAATGGGATCAAGGATGTTGAGAAATAGCAATCCTCTGGTTTGAAAAGAAGAAACAGAAGCCCATGAAGGAAATAATTTAGGCTTTGGAAACAATTTAGAAAACTACAAAATTAACTTACAATTTTTATGTTTAAAGAACACTCTCAAATATCAGAAATTACATTTGTTCAGGAAAAAAAAAAAAGAAAGAAGAGAGAGGAAGAAAGAAACAACAGATATACACAACATTACTGTCACCTGCACACAGTATGGGACATTCAAGCTTCTGTGGCCATAACTAAAAGGCCCAGCCAACCAAAATATAACTGGCTGCTCCATGACATGACATCAAGCATTAAACAGAAAGCAGGGTAGCTCAAGTTTTCCTTTATGGTGCATTCATTCTATCCTGCTACTATTTAATCACCAATTCATTTAAGGAACAGCTGGCACACCGAACCCAGTTCTTCTCTCTATCTCTTCTGGAGTTAGTGTTCTCTTCTTGCTCTGATTTAACAAAATTTGATAATAGGTTGGACATGGTTGCAAGAAATATAATAGGAAAAACCAAAGTGAATTATGATATGAACATACCTGTTTGACAAATGCAGTATCCCTCGGTTCAACTATCTTGTCTGCAAGGCCATATTCTATGGCTTCATGTGGTCGGAAATATTTGACCCGCTGAACATCATTAGCAAGTTCTTCCTTGGTCTTTCCAGTTCCTTTTGATAATAGCTCAAGATAATAATCAGCATTTGCATCCAGCTCTTTTGCCTGTTTGTGCAGAAGATTGTTAATCTTAGAAACAAGATGCACTCAAAATCCACAAACACACACACACACAGAGAACCTTTATCCACATATCGGTGACAGGCCCACTTGATCTCATAACCCTAGGAAGATGCAACTTTGCTGAAAAATTAACAAAGAGGAAGAACACAGTTGAAAATTAACCATTTATTACGGAATGAAAGACTATTAAACAATTGTAAGTTTAATAACCCTGGGTGAAGGATGGAAATGTTAAAAAGGACTTAGATTGATAGCATTGTATCCATAAGCATTCACAATAATCTTTTTAAATTTATAAAACAGAGACAAATTCCTCATACTAGATGAATGTGGCTGTACAAGACGATGACCCTTTGCTCCTAAACCTAGAAGCATGGCTGCTTGACCAAATGCCATCCCCAAGTTCAGTGTGTGGACTTTTGATTTGCAGAACTTCATATAGGCAACAAAAAAAAAGGGGAGTTAAATTGATTGATAAGAAATTCTAAACTCATCCAAACAAATTATAAACAAATTAGAAAAACATCCTAGCTATTTATCTCCTAATATAACATAAAAATATTTCTCTTGCCGAAAAAGAAAAAAAGGTACTGATTTTCAATTTGTTTCGTCGACATTAATTACTACAGCAATTTTGCCCAATTTATTCCAAAACCAAAAACCAGAAAATTGGCTAAAATTAAGTTGAAATCTAGCTTGCTTATGGAAAGACAAGCTCAATAGTTCAAACAGCACATCAAATGGAGTCATTTGGCTGGTGAATGAGCATTGCAGAATAGATGATTAGTCAATCATCAACAAACATTTCAACCAAAATTCAATTCACCAACCTATAGCATGTATGATGAATTTTCATCCAATTATTTTAAGACGTTGGCAAATGTCTTAATTTAATTGGATGAAAATTCTTTCCCTTCCCTCCATTTCCCTCAAACCAAACCAAACACAATATAACAACTTCCACTAAAGATGTCAATTGTATTCCTGAATTCATCTCCCTAGCTCTTTAAAGGTAAATTAGATTCTGCAAATTTTGTGGCTTTAAATTGAATTGGAAAAAAAAAATGTCATATAAATAAGTTTGATGGCTTCATACATCCCAATGAAGATAGATGACTAAAATGAATATTTTGAATAGATAGAGCAATTGAGGGTTTATTCAAATCTAAGCAGTTAAACCCCATAAAAACAGTTCTTAAACTTCTCAGACCCTTCCCCTCATTCCATGGTATAAAAATATAAATCCATAAGCATATGAATCAATGGAAAAAAGGATGGGCTATGACAAAACTTACAGACATAGAATCAGCTATAGCATATGCCTCAGTTTCAGATCCAACAATCTCCATCTTTTCATTCTAAATTGAACAGTAGCAGCCAATCATCAGAAATAGGCATACGGATTGTAAGTAATTTGGACACTCTCTTAACATTAATCTGTACCACTAGGGGAATACATTCCAACCCTTACCAGTGTCCCAGACGAATTGATGTATATATATATTGGTTTTGTTTGGTCATCATAATCCAAAAACATTAACTGAGCAACAATTAGCTCAGTTACTGCTGGTACGATCTGTGACAACAAGACAGATAAGTATCAAGAAACAGAAAATTTTAGCTAAAAGGTAAGATCATAAAGACATGGAAAGGGGCTCACTGGCATGCCTAGGTAGACTATCCGAGCATCTAAGAGCAAAGAAGGCAAATCAGGTGGAGGAGTTCGAGGCCTCCCATATCCTCCACCTCCATGATACATGCTTGCTTTCATTCCAAATCTTGAATACTTCTTATCATCCATGCCTGATAAACTATACATCCCTCCCTTATTTAAATAGCTATAGGCAGATGAGATACTTTCCTGCCAAAAAAAAAAGATAAAAAAAATTAAGAATCCTAGCAAAACTAAAGTTGACACAAGTAGACCAAGGTTCCAGAACAAAGCATCTTAAAAAATGATTTTGATTGTTATCATTACACAACTGTCCAAAAAAAGAAATGTAAAAGAACATGAAGAAAAAGCAAACCTCTGTAACACTTTCTGACTGCCTACGGATAGGACTATCTTCAGTCAAGAACATGTTCATTTGTGAGGGAGAAAGACCATATAGAGAGGGTGGCACATTTTTGTAATTATCCATCACTACAAAAGAGAAAATGGGGTAAACAAAGTACTTAGAATGAATCCATCATGCTTTTCGGTATTAAATGATCCAAAACAGCTTAGGGTATTCCACAGCTGGCTTTACATCTTTTGCTCCAGTTTGAAATTACAATCAATGAATGAGTCATACCTAGGTGGAGCTAAAAGTTTCATAATTGAATTATCCAATCAAACAAATTGAAGCTGCTAAAATATATATATAACAAAAAAAAAAAAAATGGAGTTTATATGCAATATAAACTTGAAGCAGGAACAACCATGCCTCATGTGGAATCAAAGCATTACAAAATTATATCTTTAAAATCATTATCTTATTTAAAGGTTAACTGGATTTCAAAAGCATCACTAAACTTTAAAATGGTGTTTAAATTTGACAGTCTTCCACTGGCTCAGTTAAGATAGATAATCCTTCTATCATTCTATGTCATACCCATTAACAAGACAAGGTCTTCCCTACTGTCAATATTTTCCCAGAGGAAGAAGCATAACACAAAGAAATTCCTAACACCAAATACCAATAACATAAAGGAAAGAACTTGCATAAATTAAATTGGATTCAGGCCAATAACCAAATCGAATTCACGAGAAATCACGAAGAGAAAAACAGAGAAAGAGTTAGATTGACCCACTTCCGTCTTTGAGGTTTTCTTCCCTAAACTGCTTGGGAATGTGGTCAAGCGACCCAGCAAAGGGACTGAAGCTTCTCTGAACTCCATTCTTACTCAGACGGGGCTTGAAGAAGAAAACATTGGTGTTGGAGAGGAAGGAGGATTTGGGAAGCCCAGTAGTTGGAGCTACCGGTTTAGGGTTTGGTGCAGTCAGAGGAGAGAGCAAGGAGGCCGCCATGGACGGATGGAACTGCTAAACTGTGTGGAGATTTCTCCGGCGAACGATGACGATGAGGTTTTTCTTCGTTGAAGAAAATTGGGAATGGCTTGGAAATTTTGGGGATTTTGTGTAAACGGTAATCAACGGGCTACAGTCCGTCTAATTTTCTGCCGAGCCCAAAAGTGTAGATGGGCTCCGTAGCGTCTTTTGGGTTTAACCTAGCCCGTGAATGTTTGCTGATGGAGGCCCAAGTTCTATTTTGAGTTAATCACATGGGCTGACTTTATTTAACTGACCCCATGAACAGCCAAAAACCGAACCCATGAATAACATAGGTATCCAAATCTCTACATCCTTTCGTTTTTCCTTCATTTCTCTTCCCCCTAAAATTTTTTACCGGAGGTAGTTTTACTTTGGTTAAACCCCCAATCTGTTTCCTGAACCATTGTATGACCCCTCATTTGCTTTCTTAATTAAAAAATTTTTTGATTTGGTCCTTAAACTATTGTACGAACCATCAATTTGGTTCCTATTATTTATCAATTTACTCCAAATTGGTTCTTCCATATAAAAAACAACTAATTTGTCCGGCGAAAAACAATAACTTAACAACGAAAAATAATAATTTAACGATCATATGTCAAGTTAATAATAAAATACATTAGTTGATTTTTGTACGGAATGACCAACTTGAAGTAAATTGGTAAACAATAGAAATCAAATTGTGGGTTCATACAATAATTTAAAAACCAAATCAGGGATTTTTTTAATTCAAAGACCAAATCAAAGATCTGTACAATAATTCAGAGATAAAATTGGAGATTTAAGGTTTAACTTTTCTCTTTTTCTGAAATCAAATATATTATTAAATTCACAGATATTGTAATTCATCTTGTTAATGAACATTGAGACTTCATTTTTTGATATTTTTTACAAACCAATTTCATACAACAACTTATCTAAAAATGTAAAATTTTAATTGTTAATTAATTTTAATTAATTTTTATATAATTTTACTAATTTTAATTAATATTCTATATATTTTTAAGATAATAAAAGATAAAAACCTTCCACTACTGACTACACTACATTGCAACACTGTACAACACAGAAAAATGAAGCTTAAGAATGATTTCATCATTTAGAATATGTTGGTTTGAAAGAATTAAAAAGGAGGGAAGAAAATAAGAGGGAGAAGTTTTTTTAATCAATTTAATTATAATATTTTTAAATAATATAATATAATTAATTAAGAAATTTATATCTTTTATTTTTTTTATTATCTTTAAACTAAATATACTATTAAAAATAATCAAACATAATTTATTGAAATAAACATACTCAAACGAATATTGGAAGAATTCAAAACAGCATTTTGAAAGTGCATACATCTCCTTACCCCTTAAGCCATCGCAATGGATAACATCACTGATTAAGTTTCCACGTGAATTCCAGAAAAGGGGAAAAAGAATTTGACATTTGACTGTTGAATTTCAACTGTTAATAAAAAAAAATATATAGGGGAGAATGCCGGCTTTCACAAAATAAATACAATTCACATTGAAAAAGTGATTATGTGAGGGATGACTTCACATCCCTTCAAGCGTTCCTTGCATTATCATCCTTCGTTACTTCTTCAATCCTCTTTTACTTTTCAACAACAATCAACACTCATTTCAGCTATCTAATTATTTAAATCAAGTTCCCAGCAGCCAGCAGTATTTTACCATTTGATACAGCGTTCATGTGCCGCCACAGCTTACGTGAGTCATCACTTACCGCATCAACCCTTCTTTATCAGTACCAATCTTATGCGCCGCCTCAATAAAGACAAAATGTATTTTTTTTTTGACAAAAAAAATATAATATTAAATTAATATCTACCAGAAGAAAGTTAAGTTTAGGAGATTAAGACTTAATCTGTGGATCAAAGTGTATTTCACCTACTTTTTATTTTAGAGAAACGTGACCGTCACTACGATGACATGGGGAATGCATCAAGATAAAATGTTTTATAGTTTGAATCTCATCACATTAATTGTGGGATGGGGAGTTTTTATTCAAATACTGAATTGTAAAATACTAAAATTTTTTAAAATTGAGAGAAGATATTTTATGTAACAGGTATAATTTATCAATAATATAATAAATTAATGATAATTTAACACATCAATCCACTTAAATTTGAGTAAAAGAAAAGAAAATTCATTTTAGATAGTGATATTAATGGTTTAATAGTAATTTTCTTTTAGTAAAAATAAAAAAGCATAAATTCAAGTTCCATAATATATACTTAGGATGGATTAAAAAATGAGAACAAGTTAAACTTACTATTATAGAACTCAAGCGCAAAATTTAAAAAAAAATAATAATTGTCTTATTATTTTATTTAAGTTCTAATCTTACCACATAAGTTATTTATCCCTTGTAGAGCTTCTTCCCTAAGTGGAACGTGCAAAGCTTGCCTTTACTTCTTTTAGGTGAATTAAAATAAATTTGCTTTTCTAATTAGGTTGAGTGTGATCTGGAAAAGGGAGGGTAGTGCCGTGAGTTTACATATATGAACCTTGTTTAACACATATCCAACAACAAAAAAGTGCATAATATTGCACCAAAAATTAGGATTCATGCATCACCTTTTGTAGCACTACTGGCGGATATTCAATGTCACTTTGTTGGACATTGAACTTGCGTATGTACTATTAACTTGGGAGGCACTCTTCTCCCCCAACCAATGGTGTGACAGGAACTGAATTTGCTATTGAACAGGTATAGTAATTCTTACCAATACAACGTTGTTGATCCAATTGACATGAAGGGTAACCAATCAGTTTATCTAGCAAGTTAAGTGGTTCAAACTTTGTGAGGGAAAATGTGCCGAAAAAGGTTCACAAGTTGGAACCTTCGTCTACCGGACGTGATAGGGAATCCAGTTGATATGTACGTACGTACATGCATTCCACTGGCCAATCATTTGTTTTCATGTGCACACACATCCTAACAGAAATTCCAATTCCATGTGCTGTTTTGGACTTTGGGTTGCCCCTATATTTTAATTTTACACGTTTAATTATCATCTTAAAAGGATTTTAATCAAATGAACGATCCATTCTGATCCAACAGTTTTGAATTTTGGATTATAGTTATTCACCTTTTTGTGGGTTGCATATTTACATTTCATAAAAACCTTTTTTTCATTTTTTAATTAACTTATAAATAATTACAATATGTTCAAAAAAAATCAAGCACTTGCCCTTTTTCTTTAAAAAATAAAAGATTTTAATTAATAGTAAAATATTGTGCAATATGAACTTTTTTTCAGCACAACTTTAATTAATAATAATAGTGAACTTGTCAACTAATAATTTATTAATTTGAATAAAAAAATTTAATTTTTT